TTGTGCCGAGGGTTAAAACTTAAACTCTAAAATTACAGACAAGAGTAATCCTCTAGTGTCCAAACAATACTTGAAACGAGACTTGGAAATTCCCCTTTTGATGTTCCAGTAAAACAAGTTGTCAAAGATTATTGAAGGCAGAGAGAAAATGCTAAATGTCACATAAACAAGGTTTCAGTAAAAAGAAATCTAAAAAAAAAAAAAAAAAAAAAAAAATTACACAAATAGGTTATGAGAAACATCCATCCCAAACCAGTCTAGAAATCCCAGGAGGAAGCAGTAGCTTTTCCCTAACGAAGCGAAGCCATTGCTTCGCCTGCCTGCACAGGAAACATTTCTTCAGTGGTGTCAGATATTCCTTCTGCTCCGAAAAATCAGAATTATCCCGTTTCAAGTGGACTGGCAGTGGGCAGTTACCCTCTCTTGAGCTAAAACCAGCCAGTTTAAAATGGTCCCTTCTCTGCATATGTCTTAATTCTCCTGATTGCCGGGAGTTTTCTTTTTGAGGGCAGTTACCGTGCATAGTTGCTTCCGTTTTTTAAGAGCAGCCCAAGCTTAAATGTTATCTTTTTTCCTGTTGGGGCAGGGCAATTTAATAGTCTTCAAAACTGCCAGATAGTCCATTTAGTTGCTCTTGGAATTTGAATGTTTTCATAGGAAATTTGTAAGTCTGCGTATTTGAAGGGGTACAGGTGGAGGTGCTAAATTAGACGGTCTTCTAATTGCAGCAGATTGAATCTTCTTTCAAAGCACAACTGATGTCATCTCTGCTTTTCCAGATTAAATTTTCCACTCCTGTTACCAATGCATTTTTGGTAACCTTATTTCCTTGTTGTTGAACCTTGATTTCCTGCGGGTTTATGTGTTTTTGTAGGTTGATAGTGGGATCTGAGCTCTAAGTTGATTTTTCCGCTTCGGGCTCACTAATAGAATCTTTCTCTTCCATCCTCAAGCTGCTTCTCTTTTGAAAGTTGAACAAAAACTATTTAAGACTGAATTTCAGTTCAAAAATCAAAACTGCTGGAGGTGTTTATATGTGACCTTCAGTGATAGCAGGACTTGAGCTGAAGAGTTGCCTTGGTGAGGAGCACAAGCCGCCGGAGAAGTCACTCACGTACGTGACAGTTCGCTGTAAAACGTCCCGGGGCACGGTGACTTCAGAAGAGCTGTCCCCATTATTTTCGCGGCTGCTCGGTGGGACCCGGAGCACAGAGGTGTCACGGGCAGCAGACTGATAAATCCCTTATTTGCGTTTCTGAGTGCGTGGTGGCCCAAACGCCGAAGCACTGGCTTTGTTTTTGTAAACTAAACGTGGTCAGTGTAGGATGACCTGTTTCAGACTTTTCCTAGTCTAGACAATTTTAATTAAATGTTTATGCTCTGCTGGCTACTAAAGAAGAGCTGGACTTCAGAAAGCTATTAACGTTCTAATAATCTCATCTGTTTGTCATGATGCTTCAAAAAAATCCTTAATTGCTCAAAGTAGCAAGGAAGAACTTCTTGTTCTTTCCCAGACAGGAACCAAACCGCCGGGCTAAATCCAGCAGGAGTTCAGAGCGTGGCGCTGCGGAGAGCAGCGGGACCTGGCTTTTGTTACACCTCCACTATTGCACAAAACGGGAGGGGATAGGTAGTGGGTGTGCCCTTAATCCCAGTTCTTTAAGATTTTATTAGACAGACCTTGCCCGGGAGTAAACTCTCCACGCGTCCTCGCTTTGCTTACGCTGTTCATGTGCTGGTGCCCCCCCGAAGGGTTTCTCCCACATTTCTGCGGCCGTAGAGGGACCGGCACCGCGGTCGGCTGGGTCTGAGGGGAGAGCAGCTCATCTGTTGGAGCGCTCAGGCCAGCTGGGGGAATATCTCTGTTTGTATTTACAGAGTTTTTAACGTTTGAGTCACCTAGAAATTCCCAGCATACTTATAATAAGGTTTGGTTGAGTCATTTTTAGAGATTCTTCAGAATAACTGAAGATTTCCTGCCCCTCAAAAAAAAAAAACCAACCCAAAAGCCTGTCGTTCTTCCTGTGATTCATTAAACCAGGGGTGGCTCATTATCCAGGACTGCCCTCCCATTTCCAGGGCTGATCTTTTCCTTCCTCTTTTTTTTTTTTTTTTTCAATATCTTCAGCTCTGATCAAAGGTATCCACTGGTTCCTGGTGGCTATTACTGATAAAGAGGGAGGGGTGAGCTGTTTCTCTGTATTTGTTTACTGCAAGGGTTAAAATACCACTCCAAACCAGTAACCAGTGGGATAAATGTCCCTCATTGGGTTTGGTCATGGAGGAGACAGGGAAGGAAAAGTGTTTTGGTTTGGGGTTTTTTATGCCTCTTGTCAAGGTAATGCATACTCTTCTCCCTTTGAGAGCAGAGATTGACCTTTTTTTTTTTTTTTTTTTCCCCCATGCTAATCACACGGGTGCATCTTAGAATATAGGCAGGGCCAGCAAATCTCATCAGCTGTTTGAGTGAAGCAAAGCTTTGTTGCGTAGCTGAGCCCTCTGCCCTGCACAGCTCGGTTACAGCTGTTTCGGAGGATCTGTGCTGAGCGGCATGTGGGCTGGTGTCGAGAGCTCTCGTACGCTTGGGGGAAGCGTTTGCATTTTTGATGCAGTTTACCGGGACATCAGAAAATGGCCGTTCCAGTAAATAATGGGCTTCTAAGTTGTCTTTTCATGTCCGTGAGACTCGGTCTTGCCTATCTGAAAGATGTCCTCGAGCAACCTCCTAAGCAGCCGTTGGCCGCCGCCAGTGGCCGCGCGGGTTGGCCGAAGGGTTCCTGAAGAAGCGCCCGGGGGGGCGGCTCCGTTCCGCTCTGTGCTCAAGGCAGGGCTCGTCTCCCCCCGCCACAGCCCAGGGCCAGCCCACGGATCAGGGCGCCCGGGCTTCGTGCAGCTGGTGCTGGGAGCCCTTCGCCAGCCCTGAGAAGCTGCTGTGCTCGGTGGGGAACGGCTTCCCTCTGCCCAGGGCTCGAGGGGGTGCCCAGGCTGCCGCAGCCCCCCCAGTGGCACGCGGGCAGCGTTGGTTGGGAGCCGCCTCGCGAGGCGTGTGTCCTCTGAGTGAGCCGGTGTCACCTCCCCAGTGGGTCACGGGTGCTTCGCTGGTTAACCGTGAGAAGGCACCTCCAGATTAAACCCTTAAAGGTGATCACGCGCTGGGGAAGAAGAACGTGGTTAAAGGTACCGGGGCTCTGCGTTTCGAGGAGGCTGGTGCAGAGGAGAGCCCCCCCTTCCCCTGCAGCCTCCGCAGAACAGACCTAATCATTTGTACGCTCTAGAAAAGTAAAGGGACGACTTATCTCGCAAGGACCAGTTGCGGTGACTGTGATGAATCAAGAAGAATCGGATTTACCCCTCGGATCCGGGCGCTGTTCTCTCCCGGCAGGGTGCATCAGCTCTGCTGTGCGCGGGGCTGTGCCGTCAGTGATGCGCACTGGAACGAAGCCCCGTCACGGGTCTCCACAAACACGTGGCATTAGCCCGTAGCTGTTTCAGTTGACATCAATTATTAGATTTCTTGGAGCCAGATAGATCAGCTCTGAGGGCTCTTTGGAGTCTAGGTCGTTTTCCCTCTTACATCCCTGTTGCGCGGATGTCAGTTTTCATAAGGCTTCTTATCGTGGTGGTAAACATGGAGATGATATTTCAGTATCTGTGTGTTTATGCAATTTCGGGTTGTGTTTTAGAACTTCCCAGTAGTCCGTCAGTAGGACAAGGCTATTGGTATCCTAACAAACAGATTGCCAGCTGGAATGGCCGATTCTAAACATCGTAAATGCAAACCCTTTTATGTGTGACTCTCCTTCGTTCTTACACGTCACCAAAAGAAACCTAATCATTCCTATCTTGCTTCTTGAGAAACTAAACTCTGTTTAGTCTGGATGAGACTATTAAGGATTTTATTAACAATTCACGGATTTATAAGCTGTTGTGAGAATAAAACTCTTTAATTGCTCAACATTAAATTCTTTGATGGTGACATAGTCAAGGCGACTGCACAACTGCTCTTCCACCAGTGCAGCAGTGAATGATTAAATGAGGAAGAATTGATATTTACCTTCTCTCACCCGGTTGTGGAATGTAAGTCACGGGCATAGGTAGCGGGTAGCTGTGGTGTGGGGATGTCAGTAGATGGGATGTATTCTGGAGAGGCTGTGTTTTGAAGCAAGGCTTCCCTTTGCTTCTGGTTTGCTTGGGACCAACTGGTTAAAGGATGCTGTTCAGCTGGAGGGACAGCGAGAAATTGAGCACATCCTTCATACACCCTCCCACATGCTTGTGTCGGACTGCCCGCGAAGAGGATGCATTTGCTTGTGCTCCTGGAAGGGGGATTTTTGCAAATTTTTTCAAGACTGGAGTATCTTCCCTGGAGAGCAGGTGGCTTCAGTTCAGCCTGTGAGAGCTGGGCCCCCTTGTGTATATTTGACCCTTCTCAGTTTCTACTGTCTTTATTAGTGGGGGAACATCAACTTTTGCCCATTTTTAAATGGATTAATGAGTGTTTTTATTAGCTTGGAGCCTGGCTGAAACTTGAACTGTTAACAGCTTAAAAATCCCTTCTGATCCCGGAGGGATGATTGTCCTCACCGTACACTTCACTTTCGGCAGTCTGACCTTGTTGATCCGAGTCTCCACTAGAGGAGCAGCGTGTGCACTGAGTGTGTGGAAAACGTGGTCTTTGTCCCCTTGGTATGGGCCTGACCAGAGATGGCGACATCCAGGTGGGCTTTGGAGGACACGTGTGGCATGGACTGTGCTGCTGTTCAGCGGTAGATCACCTGGCAGACTTGCCTTATGAGTTACTCTTGTTCTTGCCTCTTAACGAATGACGCGCTTGTGGTTTTTCTGTCTGAATATTCTTATTCTTACAGCAGATAACAGGAGATGGATTAAGATCTCTTTAAGTGGAAAACTGTGGAAGAGGAATATCAACTACAAAGTACTGCTTTAGCTAGTTTTCTGGTTTAAGTGTATTGAAATGCCAATTTTCTTTTGTATTGCAGGCCCAGCATAGAGACACGTTCATTGAAGAACGCTATGGGAAGTACAACATCAGTGATCCACTCATGGCTTTGCAGAGAGATTTTGAGACCCTGAAAGAGGGAAATCATGGTGAAAAGCAGCCAGTATGCTCCAATCCCCTGTCTATTTTGAAAGTGGTGATGAAACATTGCAAGAATATGCAGGAAAGAATGTTATCCCAGCTAGCAGCTGCGGAAAGCAGGCACAGAAAGGTGGGTTTTCCTTCAAATAAGAGGTGCAGAATATTTGCATTTTTATAATGTTCACTTCAGTAAAAACACTTAAATGCCTTGAGTTCTGGTAACTGAAAGGGCTTTTGCATTTATTCTTCTTCACATAGAGCTTTAGCGTACATTGACAGCAGTGAAGTGCTCGGTGTGCCGTGGTGTACCCGGGGGGCGTAAAGCTCCACACAACTCTGAGAGCAGGACTCCACTGAACCCTGTTCTGGGAGTCTTGCTACAACATACTCTCTTTATTTAAATAGTTCGCTTCGACAAAAAAACGTGTTTACGTGTTTGTTTTATCCTGCAGTAAATTTAAACAAGTCAAAATTATTCAAGTATTTGTCCCTGCTATGTAGTCAGGGGAGAGCATCGTTTCCCAAGAGCACATCACTGGAGTCTGGGAGAAGCTCTCTGGGGTGTCCCTGCAGTCACCTGCCTCTCAACACACTATCTTAACCCCTTTGCATACTACTTTCCCATCTTAAAAAAAATATAGCTGTGATTTCTGCTTTCACTGGTGTCTGTGGCAGCCTGTGAGGTGGTGCCGTTACCCTGGGGTCTAGAAGCTGTCTCTTACCATGTCAGATCTAGGTGTACTTTTGGCTAAGGCCTGGGCCTGGGCCAGTACCATCCCGTATTTTTTCAGGTATGTCACTCTTGCTTTGATTAAAACTTACTAAACGGTGTACAAAGATCTCAAATACAAGTAGTCACGTTCTGTTTCCAATCCAAAGGTTCAAAGTTGAACCCTCTGTTTCATTGCTCATCAGCATGTGGGTTAAAGTTTATTTTCCTGTGATCTGTTTTGATGGGGTTAAGACAGAGCAAGTTCCTCTTGGTCTGTGAATAACCTGAAGCATTTCTGTTGCAGAAACCTTACTATGGCATAAGTAACCAGCCAGCTTGATTTTTACATCACGGACACTACGCTTAGGGTGGGCAGCTGGAGGTGTCTTCAGCTTTTGGTTTGTGTCTGGAAGCAGCAGCAGGGCTGTTTCACTTTTCAGCCAAGTGTCTGGCTAAATCATGCTATTAAAATCAGATTTTTATTTTTTTTTTTTCCCCTCCTTCTACCCTTCCTGAGTCCTTCCGTAAAAACGTTCCTAGTTTACTTAAAGATATTTGAGCATTGTTTGGAAGCTTAAATTTCAGGAAGACTGAGGAGCTGCTGCATTCATGGTGAGCGTGTGTCGGGAGAGCCCAGAGTGGTGGTGGTGAGGTAGAGCGGAGTCTCTTGGGAAGTTTGTATTCTGGCTTTTCTGTTGAGTGAACAGAATTTCAATTATTCATGTAATTCAGTGTTAAAGCTGAAGGAGCTCCTTAACTGGGTCCTTATGGCAAGCAGTTTCATTTCAAGAGCTCATCTTGTTCTTAAGTGGAAGAACAAATTAATGTTCTTTAAAATAAACTTGGCACTGCGGTCCTCAAATCCCCTGCAAGGAACCGGGGTGCGAGTTACCACCAAAAGCCTCTTGTCGGGGCTTCGTGCCCCTCTGCTCCCAGCAGGGTTTAGATGAATGCTCCTGCCAGGGGGCTCTGGGGAGGGCACCCAGCACCAGGGCGGGGTGACGTGGGCCGCTCCAGGCCGCTCGGCGGGCAGAAGATGAGCACGCGGCGCAGAACCATCCGCGGATACGCGCAGTGTGAGGTTTCCCCGGCTTCTGCCACAGACTGACCTGCCTCTGCCAGAGCGTAACGTGGTGTCCCGGCTCGGGCAAAAGCTGCTTCTAATGATTTTTTTTGAGTTGCGTTTGGATGTCTGAGGCGGCGGGGGCTGCTCTCCCGAAGGCGCTGGTCCATGCCCGTGGCTCAGTGGCCGCTCTCTGCCTGGCAGGTGATTCTGGACCTGGAGGAGGAGCGGCAGCGGCACGCCCAGGACACGGCCGAGGGGGATGATGTCACCTACATGCTGGAGAAGGAGCGGGAGCGCCTCACCCAGCAGGTACGTGCTGGCGGTTCCCAGCCCACGGAAACCCGGGCGGTGAACGCGGCTCTGATGTCTGATTGCACCTTCGCGCTGGAGGATTAGCAGGGACCCTCCCTCCTCTGGAAGGTGCTTCGAGCCTTCAGCGTTTTGATAGGAAAAACAAGCTGAATTTTTCGGGGTGTTTTGGTAGCTGAGCGGTGCTAAAAGCCATTAATAGGCAATGAAATGCTTTGAAATCTTAACTTCAGCCTGAAATCTGAGAAGTTCTCAAGATCAGGGCTGCACTTACAAATGATAGGGCTCTCTAGCACTCAAAATTCAGAGTAAGTCATGAAAGATCTCCCAGGGGGGTTATTCAGAGACGATAATAAATATTTAAGCTACTATTTTGTTACTCAAGCACTGTAGACTTTTATTAAACATACATAACACATCAGCATTTTAAAGCCTAAATGCCTTTAAAAGGCAAACGAACAAAGTAGTAAATGAGGTGGAAGGAAGCTTTGCTCCAGATCGCTTGTTCAGTCCGTGCATGCCAGCCTGGCTGTATATCTCACGAAAGGTCAATTGAATTTCATACATGGTAAAACTACTAGTAAGTAATAATTCTTAGTACGTGCAACCTGAGTCACACAAGACTCTCTTGCAGCTACCCGGGGCAAGAACCTCTTTCTCAGACGTTGCCGCCTTTTACTGGGGAATTTCTCCAAGATACCCAGTAACCCAGCTCCCTCTTGGGGCACTGTACTTAATTTACTTTCAGGAGGTTTCGCACTTCCCTTAGAGTGCTTTTTGTTCTTACCTTCCAGTTGGAGTTTGAAAAATCCCAAGTGAAAAAGTTTGAAAAAGAACAGAAGAAGCTCTCAAGCCAGTTGGAGGAGGAGAGGGCACGCCACAAGCAACTGTCTTCCATGCTTGTAGTGGAGTGCAAGAAAGCCACTGCCAAAGCAGCTGAAGAGGGACAGAAGACGGCAGAACTGAGCTTGAAACTGGAAAAAGAGAAGAGTAAGGTGAGTAAACTGGAAGAGGAGCTGGTGTCCAAGAGGAAGCGGGGTTTGCAGATGGAAGCACAAGTGGAAAAGCAACTCTCGGAGTTTGACATTGAAAGAGAGCAGCTGAAAGCCAAGCTGAACAGAGAAGAAAACCGTACAAAAGCACTCAAAGAAGAGGTGGAATGTCTGAAGAAAGCCCTGAAAGAGCTGGAGGCTTCTTGCCAGGAGCACAGTCCCACGGAGCCGTCGCAGCCCAGCCCCTCGGTGGTGTCCAGAGCGGTTGGAACGGAGGGTCCCGCCGTGAAGTCTGCCTCCTGCCAGACGGAGAGTCCGCAGGCAGAGCGAGCGAGCCCTGGCAAAGCGCCGCACGCCACGTGTCCCAGCCCTGCTCAGCCCTACGCAAAATCCAACGGTCACTGCGAGGCAGACGTGCAGGCGGGGGCTGAGCTGCTGCAGGCGAACGCCGCAGAGAGCCCGCTTCAGAAGGAGAAATCTGCTGGTGCAGCCTCAGAAACTGCAGTGGAGAACGGGAGCTCTCCTGTAAGAACAGAGTCACCGGTGCATCTCATGTCCCAGATCCCTTCCAGCGGGGCCTCCCTGTCTCCCAGCAGCACAGCTGCCTCCTCCCTAACGCCTTCTCCCTGCTCCTCACCAGTTCTGACGAAACGCTTAGTGGGAGCGTCGGCGAGCAGCCCCAGTTACCAGTCATCCTACCAGGTGGGGATCAACCAGCGCTTCCATGCAGCTCGGCACAAGTTTCAGTCCCAAGCTGAACAGGACCACCAGTCGAGTGGTCTGCAGAGTCCACCCTCCCGGGATCTGTCTCCTACTCTAGCAGATAACTCTGCCGCCAAGCAGCTGGCCCGCAATACAGTCACTCAGGTCCTCTCCAGATTCACCAGCCAGCAGGGACCCATTAAACCCGTCTCCCCCAACAGCTCACCTTTTGGCACGGACTATCGAAATCTGGCAAATGCCGTGAGCCCCAAAAACGAATCCGGTCACTCTCCAAGCCCTGGCAAGGTTTCCAGTCCCCTGAGCCCGCTGTCTCCTGGAATTAAGTCACCGACCATTCCCAGAGCAGAAAGAGGGAACCCTCCACCCATTCCCCCCAAGAAACCCGGCCTCGCTCAGTCACCTGCTGCTCCTGCTCCGCTAAGCAAAGCCTCCTCCCAGGCGTCCCCGCTGGGGGCCCCCACGGACGTGGCAAGTAGCTGCTCTAACAACACTGTGGTGTCCAACGGCAAAGACCTGGAGATTCTCCTGCCAACCAGCAGCTAGTCTCCAGGAATTGTGAATGTGACATTCCATGGCTTAGCATCCTAGAGCTAAGACACTGTTTTTCCACTCCATGTTATTTATTTCCATAGTAGCAGATTCTGTCTGTATAAAGCATTTAGTATATTTTTTTTTCTTTTTTGATAGGTAGGAAAATATTTTTGTTTATGAAGAAACCTTAACTACAGCTATACAGTAGCCTCAAAATGTCTCACGGCAGCGGTCAGATCATTAGAGATAACAAGAACCCTAATCATGTGATGGGACCTAACTGTCAAACTCTAATGGGACTGAAATGCTACTTTTAAATTATGCAGAAATAACTTTTGCAGACTTTTCGCTCCAGATACGAACATTTTATAAAAAGTGCCTGAACTAAGCCTGCAATATGAATGTGATCCTCTGAAAAAGGTGAGGAGGGGGACCATCTAGGTGGAGAAACAAATTCTTCTGTGAGTCCTGAATGTCGAAACCACACTGGTTTTAATTCTTTGCATTTGCTACGATGAGTTAGCAGATGTGCTACAAATTCTGTAGGGTGACCACTGGACTGATGCAGCCAGCCACGCTTTGTCCTCCAGGACGTAGCTCCCAGCTATTTGAGGAAGCACACATCAGTTTCTTGGGGTAAAATTTAGCCGTAGTACAATCCAGATTACTTTTCTCTCGGTATTCGTTGTCCATGCAGTTCTTTATTTGCTTTCCTGTCACACATTCTGTGGAGATGCCTGTGTGCTTTAAATGGCTAAACTCTGCTTTCTGGTGTGTCACCTTGAATTTTCAAGCTCTCCAAGCATTCTACTGTTGTGTGTAGAACTTCTGAGAAAAAGGCTTTTGCTATTACTTGACAAAGATCTCACTATTACTTGAAAAAAAAAAAAATCACTAGTCCACACGATACAGGTTTTTTGCAGCAGTAACATGGGATCTTCTACTATAAACAGAAGCAATAATTTTGTTCCTCATCTCTGTCAGTTGTGTCTGGCTGACCTGGACTTAACCCATGAGTTAGCTGTGGGATCTTGCTGGCTGTCCTTGGCTGCAAACCGTTACTGCTGTGTAACTGAATACGTGTAGGTGTGTAAGTAGTTTTACACACACGTACTAAATACGCAGCGCATTAGGAAAATCTTTATTCTTGATGTTCCGCCTAATATGAAGAGAATGTGGGAAATCACTGAGATTAAAAAGTCATTTAGTGAGGAATTGCCTAAGTTTGAGGCAATCGTGTGTGTGAAAAATTACTTGGGCCGAGGAGGGGAGAAGCAGCCGATGGCTGTGCCGGGTCCTGGCCGCAGCCGTGCCGGTGTGCTGCCCGTGCTCGGCCCGTCCCGGGTCACTGCGCTGAGGAGGGCAAGGCAGACGCTCCGCGGAGCAGCAGCAGAGGCCGAGGGCACAACCCCAAGTTAAAAATCTCAGGTGGGGTATGTGAACCGGTCCTAAATTCAGCCACTGGACTTGCTGCGGGTGTCAGTGCTCAGCGCTCCCCTCGTGTCCTGGTTACGCAGAGCGCAGCTTCCCGCTGCCACCCCTCCTCTCTCATTTGTCGCTGTTTAATTAGAATCCATCCACCTTCGCTGCAGGCAGGGCCCCTGCGGCACCGGGGGGGGCACTGCTGGCCGTGACCCGTCGCTCCCCCCGGCTCAGCTGAGTTTCGCAGGCCGTCAGAGCCCGGGGGCTGCCCAGACGCGGCCGTTGTGCAGCTCCCGGCCTCGAGACTAGAGCAAGGGGGTTCTGCAGACCCTCAGCAGCTTTAAATGATGCCGTTACCTGTGTTGTCCCTAGTCCGGTGCAGCGGAAGACAATGCCTAGTCCGGAACAGCAGGGAGACAGAGGCAGCCTGGAGATAAACGGGCAGTGACTCTTGTGGAAGCACATTTACTACTTTTTTTAAGTATCCACAGCAGGTTTTTCCTCTTGATGAGAGTAATTGCAGAGACTGATGGGCAGATGGATTTTGGCCCATGTATCACTTCAGATTCAAAAGTGAGGCTTTTGTATACACTGCTTTAACGTGTTTCTTTGCTTTGACATTAATCTAAGTGGTATTATCCCCTTCCTTTATCGATAGCTCTAGAGAGAGAGAGAGATAACTATGATGAAGTCTATTAGGAAATGCACTGAGTACTGTTTCTTCTAAAATATAATACGGGAAGGGGGTGTGCAAAGGAATGTATTTTTGCTAGTAGCCTATCTTCTGAGAGAAACTAAGCACAAGATATTAAAGCGGATCCAACTAATCCAGTAAGACATTTAGAGTTAGTATTTAACTGTTGATGTAGATTCTGTGTGGAAGCAACTAAATATTTCTTCTATAACTCACATCTGTTCCGAGCAGACATTGTTGCAGAGTGTGTCACTGGCTAATGGAGTATAATGAAGTGCAAAATGTATACACTAGTATTAATTCATTAACACTTGTAAATTTGTAAAGCCAAACGTACCAAGCTGAAGTCTTTAATCATTTTTATAGCTGATGGCATTAAACATGTTAAACGTTCATATTATCAATAAAGGATTTTATTTTTAAGATGTGCAAATAGCTTAAGGAAATGTTTGCAGATGGTGTGGTGGAGCCAGGCTGCCGAGCCGGGGGGAGCGGTCGGGGCGCTGGGCCGCTCTTCCCGGGGAAGCGGAGGTTGCCCCATGCCCGAGGGAAGCGGATTCTCGGGGCGCGGAGCTGAGGGGCTCTCGGGGCGGGCTGGGGCCTGGCCTGAGCACTCGCCCCTCTTCCCTCTCGGGCCTGCGCTGGCCCGCGGGCTCCCTGTGCCGGCAGCGAGCGGCTGGAC